TTGGCCATTGACTCGTGATCTCTCAAGTATTTGCACGTTATAATATTTGTGTAAAATTTTATTTTTATAACAAAACAAAATTTAAAACGGTGCGGGGCGAAGCGGGGCGCGGGTTAAAAATGAAAGAAAACTATTGTGTGGGGTGGATTGAAACTTTTGCGGGTTAAGGTTAACCTTCCCCGCCCTACCCTATCCCATTGTCACCCCTAATTCAAACGAAGATGCAATTATTCTCGGTAGGGGTGGATATAGTTTGGGCCAACCTGAAATTCAAACTAAAATTTGACTTTTTTTGGAATTTTTGAATTTTGGATTCATCTATAAAATTTATGGATTTTGAATTGGATATCCAAATATTTGAAACTTTATAGTTATTGCATATGCAATGATCCGATTGGTCATTTTTTAAATTTTTTGTAAAATTATTGTTTTACCCTTCCCGACATTGACCCCGAGTCATTTCTGAATGAGTTTTGAAAGTGATCTCGAGTTTTGAGTTTAAAAATGTGAATCATGGGAATTTTGGAAAATTGAAAGACTAAAGTTGTTAAAAATGGTTTTCGATGTCATTTTGGAGTTTTGAGTGTCGGAATCGAATCCGACCGATTCTATTAGTTCCGAAATGTAAAAATTGGTCTAGCCGGAATGTGAAAATTGGTCTAGGAGAGTTGTCGGTTTCTAATTCAGAGTCGTTTTGAGGATTTGAGGTCCTAAGTTGTAAATTTGTGAAATTTTAGCCTTTGGATTGATTTTGGTCAACATTTGGGGTTCGGATACTCAGATTGGAATTCTGAGAGTTCAATTGAATTCGGGGGATGATTTTAGGCATAGGCGAGGTCTTCCTTAAATTTTCAGAGGTCCCGAGCTTGATTTGACCTTTTTAGGCGTTATGTTCCTTTCTTGTGACTTACACGGGACCCGGGTCAAGGAAACCTCAGATTCATAGTTCGATTGTTTCATTGTGTCCAAACGTTGAATATAGTCAACTTACATATATGTGTGTTTATGGGATTCTGAACGAAACTCGAGGGTCCATTCGGAGATTTGAGAGTTGGTTGATATGTTCTTGTGTCTGTGTGCTTCACTTTAGCGCAGGATGACTCGCTTTAGCGAGCATTGCTTCAGCGAAGTGATCGTCGCGTTCGTGAAGAGGTCAGGGCCCTTGACCTTCGCGTCTGCGATGGGGATGTTGCGATCGTGACCTTCGCTTTAATGAAGGTCGGTTCGCGAAAGTGAAGATCGGTCCGCTTTTGTGACATTAGATAGGGTTTATGCCTATCATTTCGGGGTTTAACCTTATTTTTCTCCATTTTGAGTTTTGGAAAATTCATAAGGGTGATTTTAAGGAGATTTTTCGTGGTGAATCAATTGAATAAGTCTTTGTAACCCTAAAACTTCAATCCCCCTTAATCATTTGTGGATTTTAACATCAAAACTTGGGATTTTGATTGGCAAATGACAAGGTTTTCAAGGACTTGAATTCTATAGTAAAATGGTGATTATGAGCTGATTTTAATTTCTTTTTCAACATGGTTTTCACCTATGTGTTTCAAATGCCTTGGGTAACGTTTTCAGTAAAGATTTACGGATTCAAACTTCACTTTCAGAATTGAGTTTTTGAGTTGATTTGACCCATTTTTAAAAATGAATGATTCGGATGTTGTTATTTTTAGAATCTTATTGTGATTACTTGATTGAATCAGATTGTGTGGGTTTGGACATTGTTCGCAAAGGAAAGGCTCAAGTCTTGGATTGACTTTTGATTTTATTAAGGCATATGATTTCTAAACCTTGTAAAACTAATAGAATCGTGTATTTCCCTCATTGTGTGTGTTGGGGAGTAATGAGAATGAGGTGATGTGTTCAATTATTCCACTTGATTGATCTTAATGAATAAAAAAGGGATTAATGAAAAAGACAATATGTTGATAATTATCTTTTGTGAATTGCCTTGTTGTGGACCTAAATTGTTGATTGATGAAATGTTTTGATGGCATTATTGAGGATTTGAATTGCTTTAGTTATTGTCTCTTCCTAGTGGTGTGAATTGCTTATTTATATTGATTTATGTGCATCGTGAAGAGACATGTGATGATTATGTTTAAGGAAATGGTTTCAGCCAGTGACATTATATAAAGTCGAAGGAAAATGATTTCGACTAGTGATATTGATGCCAAGGTCATTGTTGGTGAGAGTTATTGATGTCAAGGCCATTGTCGGCGAGTATTATTAGAGCCAGTGTCATTGTTAGCGAGTGTAATTAATGCCAATGTCATTACCGATGAGTTCCTGGATTATGGGCATTTTCCATGAGTCCCGATTGACATTGTGCATGATAATCTTGAGATTTGTGATTGGTGTACTTGACTATTGTGATTTGATGAACTTGATACTTATGATTTATCTACTTGATTGTCATGATTGATCTACTTGACACTTATGATTGACATACTTGATAATTGTGATTGATGAATTGTAACAGTTAGACTGCGATTATGGAAACTTGTGAACTATATTTGTAAACTGTTAGATTTGGCTGATTTCTATGTAGATTGTAGTTGAGGCAGTTCGATTGGAATGAAAGGAGTACTTGTATTCTAGCTTAGTTTTGCTTTGTTTAGTAGGTTGCTTGCTGAGTACCGTGTGTTTTGGTACTTACTCATTATTTCTACACTTGTGCAGGTTCAGAGCCTGATTCTGTGTGATTGCTCTTCTTCTAGTCACATCTGAGGGTATGTTAAAAGGTAGCTGCTTTTCATTCCGGCGGACTCTCTTGTTCCTTACTTTATGTTTTGTCCTATCCGAGAAACAAAGATATTGAGACATGTACTTATCTTTCAAATCTGTATTAATACATTAATGACTTGTACACATAGCAATCATGTTTTGGGGTAATATTAAAATGACTAAGTTTTCCGCTTTTACGTTATTATTGTCTTACTTTCCACATTTCTTTCGTATTTTTGGATTTGAGGCTGATTTGTCTTAGTGGGATAGATGAGTTCCATCACGTCCATTTTTGGATAGTAACAACATAGTAGCAGAAATTTTACCTTGTGTGCACCCAAAGAATAGCGGTTGCGAGTTTTCCTTGTCATAAATTTTTTTTGAAACTTTATACCTTATATTTGGTCCTAATCATATCATATGTGCCAAATAATAAAAAAGTTTAATTGATTAGTATCCTATGACCTTGTTTGTTCTATTATATCTGCTTGAATAACATTATATGATTTGATTGATTACCGTTAAAGGATTTTATTGTGATTTCTAATATCATGTATTTTTGTGGGTTAGACTAATTTAGATAAAAATGAATAGTGTTTCATAAGCAAATAAAGTTTAATACACGATAAAGACGTCTGTCATTTTTAATATGGTTAGAGGTATTTTAATATGGTTAGTTATTATAACTTGTTTTAAAGGTTCAAAAATCTTTCATTTTTCATTCATATCATATTCAAAATCCAAACAAAAAATATTAATTTTAATCACTTATTACTGTGATAAATCTTACACAGTAATAAGTGAATACAACTAATAAATGTTTTTTTCCAACTTTTTTCCCTTTCATTGTCTGTGGTCCCCTACCCATATTGAAAAGTTGAATTTAAAGTGCTATATTTTTGTGAGCATATTTGGTTGCCTAACATTTATTACAAACAAATAAATTATTAATGTTATATAAATATTTTTAAAAAAATTGCATGGGATCTCACTTCAAAAGCTATTAAAAAAAGGTTTTAGTGGACCCATAAATGACCTAAAAATAATCAACATTATGGTTAGATGTCAAATTCAAACACTAGCTCCTCTTAGGTCTATGATTTTTTTATATAATTTTTAATTGTCAACCATGAAAAATAATTTTAAAAAAAAGATATAAAAATACTGATGTGATATGGATCCTAACTTGTAAAGGAAGGAGTTACAATCATTAGATTACGAGTTCGTTTGTGTTAGCTGATTGTAAATAATTTATATATATCGGTTAATATTTTTTTGAGTGTTGAAATAAATAATAAGCATTTGATATGTTAGTGAAATAATAAATGCTAATAAACTCTTCTTTTTTTTTTTTTGGTAATAAACAACTAAAAAATTTAACCAAACATTAGGAAAAAGGATTGTTTTTTTGTTTCAAAAGAAGAAGAAAAGGTGTACAATGTCTTAATCAAACTAGTGTATTTTGTTTTTGCCTTTGCCTTTGAGAAATTGAATGTAGCTTGTGAGGACAATCTTGAGGGTTGGCCATGTGAGTAGTAATTACTTGCCCCTTTCAATAAAACAACTCCTTTGTAGGTATAGGGGCATGTGGTTGTTAGCACTTAGCAATTTCCCATCAATAACACTATAGTACAATTCTAGATATGTCCAATTGGAACATTTTCCCATTGATAATCGTAGCGTCTAAGTCAGATTGTGTAATCACCAACATAAATATTGAATAACGTTTTCTATCAAAACTTCGATAGATAAGAAGAAATCAGCTAAAGTTTTGTCTCTGCTGAAATTTGAACACTGATCTCATGAAGTTTTTTTCATCACTTCACTGACCATTAGGTCGTAGTTTAGAGTCCAAGCCCCTACCATACATGTTAAGTTTTCCATGATATGTAAGTTTTGGCAAGTTTATGCCTACTTGTGTATGCAATGTAAGTAAAAAAGTAGATGAGATGGGATACATATGAAATAAATTCTCTTGAAAAAAATAGGTGATTAATTGAATTTTAAAACTATACTGCTATACACTATAACATGACAATTAAAACCAATTTTAATGAAGTCTAACTACCTAATTTTCAAGCAAACCAACAACCTAATGAAGTTTTATGACTCTTTATTTAGCTACCTATCATCTTACCCACCACTATATTTTGGTTTCCTTTTCAAGCTCATTTACTTACTCTTGACCTTTTCCACCTTCCTCCTGCTATCTATTTAGTGGGGATAGACAAGTGAGCTTTATTTTCCCTTTTTTTCTTTTGGTAGGGTGGGGGTGGGGTAGGGGGGGGTTCAAATTGCATAATATATGTAATATGTCTCATTATTCACATAACTTACTAGCAAACATGAAGAACATGGATTGGTATTCTTGGTTATCCAAGACTAGCCTTGATCAAGAACTTATCTATGAGTATGGTCTTGTTTTTAGTAGAAATGAGCTTCAAAAGGAGGACTTGATTTACTTCAATCATGAATTCCTTCAAAGTATGGGGATAATTGTAGCCAAACATAGGCTAGAGATTCTCAAATTGGCTCGAAAGGAAGGCGGAGGCGGAGGAGGAACAACCTCATCATCAAATGGTCTTTCAAGACTTGTTTTGGCAATCAACAAAACCAAGAAGCTACTTGCCAAGAACTTGAGCAAGCTCAGTATCCACCGAGCTTCGACTCGTCTAGCTCTCTCCGAGCTCAAACCTTATCGAACACAATGGACCGGAGCACTAAGGAAGCTCGAGAGCTCGAAGGAAGAGAAAGCCATAGTCACAACAAGAAGCATGACAATGAAGTCAGGACCACTAGACAGAAGAATGCAAGACAAATTTATGGCCACCAACAGAAATCTGAGTGCCTCAGGTCCTCTGGATGGGAGAGTACTTCAAGAAAAGTTGATGTACCCTAATAGGAGTCCAATGAAGTCTGGGCCATTGGACAGAAGATACAAAGACAGTGCTGTTTATCCAAGCAGAATCAATAAATCTGGTCCATTGGATGCAATGGGCTATAGTAGCCCAAGACTTAATCACTACAATCAAGAAATGATACCAGCTGATGATGGGGTTATCTACTCACAATGGTCTTTAATGTTTCAAGATATGAAGCCCACTTGACAACTCAAATGAAGCTTTCATCTTGTAAGACTTGCTGCAGATTAAAGAATCCTAGGATAGTATGTTTGTTTGTTTTTATAACTGTGGTGTCCGGGGCCAGCTTGCGCGCACCTCGAGATACCTACCACCTTCACTAGTACTAGTACTAGGTGCCAGGTAACTCTGATGGGAAGAAATCACCTAGGTTAGTATGTTTTTTGGTAAATATCTGTTTGTTTTTTTAGTAGCAAAAGGTAAAGAGTGCATTCTTAAGGTATGGCACACAGGCATGGGGTTTGCTGTCTCAACAATCCTTGTTCTGTTGTAACCTTTTTTTTCTGCATTTGTGTACTTGAAAGTCTTGAACTTTAATATCAAATATGTATGATGGTTGGTTCATATATGCAGACCTTATCCCTTCCTTGTGATTCCAATAGACTTGTTTCCAATATACCCTCGACTCAAGTAAAAACATTACAAAGTAATTCGAAAAAAAGCATACAAAGGAAGTGAAGAAGCCAAGAAAAAATGTTAAAGAAAGCATGTCAAAGCATACTAAAAAAGAAACAAAGATCAATACAGAGCTACCAAATAGAAAGCTCAATCAGCTACAAGTATATATGCAATAAAAGACTAGCAGAGAATTCTAAAATTAATCCATTAGCACTTTTAAGGTCATTCTTAGTATCATTCCATTTCCATTTGCATCTATTGAGTGAAGGCTAAGCAATGTGTATATAAGATCAAGTTCGAGTCTTCCAATCGATGAAAGGCATTAAAGATAAATAGCAGGACCCCAGAAGCAGCATGATTTCAGGGTAAACCATACACATAGTGAAAGGGATCTTCCTGGGAGTACTTTATTCTACAAAAGAGTTGGAATAATGGCGGGAATCGATAACGACCTTCACATGCAAAACTTTGTTGATACTGAAAAAGACAGGTTTCATGTCATTCCAAATGCATCAAAACAGAATTGAGCTTATCCATAAGGATGGGCCATTAGAATTTGGTAATCACAAAACATGAAATTGTTCCATTGGTAGCTGAGAGTTCAAGTAAATAACAAAAACCAATTCAAATCATCAGCATAACTATAGACTTTATGGAATTTAAATATAGATTGAGTATAAGATCAACTCATCTACATAATTATGCTTCCGAGTAATGTTTCCTTCTATCTGTTGATAACCAAATCTCAGATTAGCTTTGATAACTGTAGAAGTATATTCTTCAGTTGTCAGTCTAGTTCGATGCTTCTGCCAGATATCGAGAACATCATAAACTATTCTCCCAGTTTCCTTTGAAGCATATTCACTATGCATGTACAAGTTCTTAGGAACCACCATACGCTTAATCATAATGTGTTGTTATCATCGGAACAGTTCTCATAGCATTTAGATGTCAGTCTTAAGGGGAAACGATACAGTACGTAACAATAACATTCTCATAATACTACCATAACCATTTGGGGATGGAGTGGAAACAAAGTAGATGAGAGGACACTATTTCTTGCTATATAGCTTGATGTATCAAGTGTTACATGAGTAGTTTACGCATCTATGTGCATGATGCTTCATTGTGGACACACACTAACAAAGCTAAAATTCTCAAACATATCATACAAATCACAACAATTTTCATAAATATCATACTATCCAAAATTTGAACTCACAGGCGATTGCTGATCAATGTGCTTCCCTTTAGAACATTAGCACATGACGTTGGTTACACTTTTTCAAGATACCTCAATGACTTGAACTTTGAGGTAGCCGAAAGGATCCTCCAGCATAAAGCATTTGATAAACAGGTCTTATTCTCATGGTAAGAACAATACTAAGCACGGTGCCGAGACCACATACTCCAGCCAGAATCAGGAAGGTGACTCTAAAGCAATCAGGACCCAAGCAAGTGGCAGAATGCTGCTGCGCTGCCTCATTATCATAGAGATACCCGGCAAGGAGACCGGAGAAGAGATAAGCACCTAAGGGGTTCCCTAGCGACATAAAATTGAAAATTATACCAAAATGCTTGAGACCAAACAACTCAGAGGCTGTTGGGACCATTGTTGTAAATTGAACACCATAGCAGACTCCTAGTAATGCTATTGCTGCATATAAGGTACCATTAAGTGCAGAAGCAAACAGAAGGTAGGTAATGATCATTACTACTTGTGTGCATGTCATCCAAACTGTCCTAGGTACTGCTTTTAGCCTGCATTGTGAATTGGAACAACAAGCAATTAGATCAACGCTAGTATTACAACAGTGAAAAAACACTATAACTGAACAAGCAGTCTACTTAATCATTTCAAGCATCTTCAACAAGCTATCTTGTCCATAAACTGCTTTCGACTATCCTATGGGAGGTATTTGGATACAAGATGTTGTCCTATCAATTTTATCGACAAAAGCATGAAGTTAACAGTAGCAATAACTGCTTAACTAATTAATCTGGGTTAAGTTTTAAGCGAAGAAACCATCTATCATCATTTCCTTTCTATTTCATTTTTCCATTGGTTGAAAATAATTCAGTCAAACAAGAGGGATTATTTTTTTATTTTTTAATGATCGAGGGAAGGGGAGCCTTAGTGTAATTGGTAAAGTTGTTGCCATGTGACCAGGAGGTCATGAGTATTGAGTTCGAGCAGTGGAAACAACCTTTTGTAGAAATGCAGTGTAAGGCTTTTGTAAAATAGACCCTTGTAGTCCAGACCTTCCCTGGACCCCGGGGCATAGCAGGAGCTTAGTGCAGGGGGCTGCCCTTTTTAATGATCGATAAAAGGCCTTTCCTCTACCCTTCTTCACTTAATACCAGATTCGCATGGTGCAAGGCTCAAACTTGTGACCTATGTCACAAATCCCTCAACCTTTGCCATTTGAAATTGAGCCTCGGGGGCAACAAGAGGGGATTAATACAAATAGTAACTAAGAGGTTGAAGGATCACACCTGACAAAATACTCTGAAATAACTCCTCCACCAAGACGACCAACAAAGTTGCAGAAGCTGAAGAGTGATAGCAGGATCTTTGTATCATGAAGCCCTTGAGCTATTCCGATTTGCGCCAGATTGTTGAGAACAGTAACCCCAGAACCCACACCGAAAAAATAAACCAAAAACAAAAGCCAGAAATCTGCCTTGACCATAGCTTCAGTGAACTTGAAATCTTCACCTCTTCTTGGCCTCCTCTTTTTCTTTACTGCACCTTCCCCCTCAGCCAGAAGCATATCCACTTCAGAGATTTCATCTCCCTCTTGAAAACTTCCTAGGTTTGCTGATGATGATAATGGTGTTAACAAGGGTTCTGAGTTCTCTGCACTGCTATCATCTTGGACTGATACATTGGACACGCCCAGTTTGCCGCGGTTTGAGGGATAAAAAGTCATCTTCACAGGAATGGCTAGTGGAGCCATTAGAAGGACCACCATGATAATGAGAAGAGTGTAAGAAACTAAGACATTTAAAGAAAATACATCTTCCAATATTGTTGTTGTTAATACATAGACACCGAGAACAATACTAGCTACTTGGACGAACAAAAAGTGGTATGATTCTGAAGAATCTTCGCCTAAAGAAGGTGTACAAGGCCTAATAAAGTACATCATTAACAAACTTAAAGCAGGAACCCCTAGTGCAAGGAACAGCAAGAGCTTAGAAGAAGAATTGCGAAGCAATGCACTGTAGACTTCTGTATACACTGCAGCACTGAGCCCTCCATAGCCTTTAAGAATCCCAGCAACCGTGCCCCGGCTTAGAGGAAAGTTTCTCATATTAGTCACAAGCACAGTTGTGCTGAACCAAGCACTACTATTCGTGGCAACACAAAGTGCAATCCATAACTGTCAAACCATGAAGTACAGTACACAATTACATGAACTCTTGAAACCATAAGTAGTGTCAATGAGGATACAGGCAACAATGAATGGAAACATTCGGAAATTTTTAAACACGAAAATGATTATTGAGCATCAGAGGGTACAACTTCACCAAGCAACAGTGAACAACTTAAAAGACAACATGGAACATTTCTATAAATTAAACCATGGTAATCGGTGTTACCGGCTGAGCCTCAATCGCCAAAGGTGACTGGTGTATCAATCCAAGCAGAATAAGCAAGATCAGAGAAAAAGGATTCAGCTTCTAAGAAGAATAAAAATAAAAGATTACCAGCTGGGACATTTTTTTAATCCTAAAGTCTTCTTTACTTTCTTAAACTCCGTGTCAACCAGACCAACAAATTGAAATGGATTGGACACTTCTAAGTCAGAAACTTAAGCTAATTTTCTTTCATGTCAAGCATAATCCTGATAGATGAACCGGGAGTAAATAGGTCTACTTTCAGAAAAACTAATTATAGATAGGAAGTTGCTAAGATTTCACAAAACTTATTCAGGCTGTACCATTCTCAAGCATCAATTTTGGAGAATCATTACTTACAATAACTGATCTTTCTGAAATTTGTATACTAATAATGATCTCTTTGATTTACAACCAAACATATGCCACTTAGAGATGCACCAAATCAATCTCTTCCCAACAAAATTGGATTACATTACAACAACATACCCAGTGTAATCCCACAACTGACATATTGGGAGGGTAGTGTGTACGAGGTCCTTAACCCTATCTTTGCAGGAAATTGGATTTCACTAGTAGCCAAGGGTGTGACATAGTGTCAATGAAGTGGTTTGAGCATCATGAGGTCTCAAATTCAAACTCCGAAACAAAAATACTATGTGATTACTTCTCATCCATTCTAATCTTGATGGACAAAGTTACCTAGTACATGTTGACGGTGGAACAAAATATCTCTCATCCCCCCCCCCCTCCAAAGCTAATCTAACCATCTCAAAACAATGAAACAAGATTCCAATTGCAAATAAATAGACCAAACAACATGCAATGTCCTAGAAATGAAACATTTTCAAAAACATCAATCAAAGATTAGATCTTTAACAAAAAGGAAGAATCTTTACCATCCAATAAGGCAAGTTCTGAACAGTTTGACTAAGTGAAAGCCAAAGAACTCCATAACCAAAGAAACAAGAAAAAGAACCAATCAATAGAACAACCCAAGGTGGAAACTTGTTACACACAAGTCCAGGAATAAGTCCAACATTTTCACCAATATCATTTGCCACTCCAAGCATAGTTAGCTGTTGCTGATTAAACCCCAAAACAGATTTCAAAGAATGAGAGTAAAGGGGGAAATTGTATGCATTTCCAGATGCTATTTGTAACCATACAGCAGCTCCTAATCCTACCCATGGTGGCCTTGTACCACCCTTAACATTCACCATTTTCTTGGACCCTTTTGAATCTTTTTAAGGTTTTCAAGATTCTTTTTTTGATCATAAAGAAGAGTTTATTTACAAGAATTAGAAGGTGAAGTGAGAAGGGAAAAATGGAAAGATTGGATTTTTATATTTGTAATTTTGAGGTTTGATGAGATCACCTTGGTGGGTGGGGGCATGGATCTTGCAGGATGTTTTTGTCCGAAGGGTGGTGTGTCCAAAAACAGAGAAAAGAGGAACAAACAATACCAGGTTTCTTGGATTTATGTTTCATCCATATCCCGTATTAGTGTTCGACTATTTCAAATTCATATGGCATAATATGGCTCCATTTTGAGGAAGCACTTTTTATTAAGAATTACTCTATATGTAAGGTTCAAACTCGAGATCTCTAGTTAAGGGACGAGCACGACATCACATTCTTTGATGATGATTTATATTGGATTTGTGTATGCTTTCCTATGCGGAGTGTACTTTATTTTAATTTGTTTGTCCTACTTTGATTTGATACGAAATTTAAGAAGATAAAAGAATTTATTTTTAAAATTTATGATGTTAAATTAAGATATATTGAATGAATTAAAATGATCTTAAATTTACTACGTGGAAAATTAGAATTAAAAAATTGTTAAGAAAGACAAAGATTATTTTTTTCGAAACGAATCAAAAAGAAAGGTGTGACAGACAAATTGAAATAGAGGGAATATTTAATTGAAAGTTTATGAATTCTTCTTATATTATTTTTTATTTACTATATTTAAATATTAATCATAATATTTCTCGGTAGTTTTTGTGCTTTGATTTTTATTACTATATATTTTTAGTAATTGAATATTTCGATGTAGTTATTACCTTTTTTGTAAAATTATTTTGTCATGCTCTTATAGTATTTTGTGGTGACCTTTCACTTCATTAATTTTTTGCTCTGCTTTAAATTGCATTTTTTTAATTAAAAAGTCTATTGAAAATATTTTTTCTATCTTAAGATGGAATAAAATTTGTGTACACTCCTAAAATTACATCTTTCTCCTTTATTAATTTACCCTTGAGATTTCACTCCTAAAATTACATTAAATATATGTTATTCTTATTGTATAATCAAATAAATTATTTAATATAAATATAAACTTTGGATCTAACTTACTGGAATTTATAAGTGTAGATCTGTCTCTGAATGGAGTCACGGTCTTTTGGTTTTCTTATCACAATTTTGTAAGTACTTATTAAATACCTTAAATTACATAATAGTGTTTTTATCTAATTTTCGATTATGTTGATAAATGAAAATTCACATTAGCGGTGGATAGTTTCTTAGACTCTTAAATACTGATGGACATTTATTATTTTAAATTAATATCTAGTTTTTGAGACAGAGTTAAATTTAAGATCTATTTAATATAATATTAAAATTAATAATAATAAATATGAATAGTTATAACAACATTCTATATAAAAGATTTAGCAACTCTGAATGCAATGACATTATCTCAATATTTTTACGGTAATAAACATTATAAATAAAAAAATATTTTCACTAAATTTTAATTTATTTTTTTGTTGTATCTCATATATATTTAAATTTTTATATACGTCTATCCCATTTTTAAGTAATAACTGATCAACTTGTTATTACATACAGTATCTACACATTTGTTAAAATTAAAATACATTAAAAAAATATGTTTTCAACTTAGGAATCTTTTATTTATTGTTTTTATTCATAGAAAGTCAAAATGCTTCACTTCGTTGCTTAATTTGTGCATCACGTCAAATTCATATTGAAGTTAATATTTTTGACGTGAAATATACTTTTTTGTATTAAAATAATACTAAATAATAAATCTGAATTCATAATTTTAAAAATATACTATATTTGAAATTAAATATCTTTAAAATTAAATTCATAAAATTTAAATCCTAATTCGCCACTAGATATGATTTGCTTGAGATATGTGTTACTATTATTTTTTTTGTCTACTTTTGACTCCTTTAATTGTGAGTTAGTCGTAATCTAGAAGCATCAAATTTTTTTTAAAAAAAAAACACACACACACACACACACAAATTAAGACATTTGATTATAAAGATCCATTTTCTTTATTTTAAAAAAAGGAGTAAATAAATAGTTTGATAAGTGGGCCATTTTAAAGTATTATTTTAAATATTTCTTCACCAAATTCAAGCACGTAACTCTTATTAAAGATTTAATTATTTTATAGTTAGAGATCCATATGTTATTCTTCTATACGTAACATTAGTTTATCAAAATATTCTTTAAATCTTTTTTTTTTAAATAGAGAAATTATTCTTTATTTCATCTTTGTAGTGTTCGCTAAATTACGTATAATTGTTTTAAATTAAAGTATTATTATTTACTTATCAAATACTATAAAACACTTTTCGAGAAAAAAAAAATTTTACACCGACACACTCTTTATTTTTATGTTATTAATTATTATAATTCTTACAACGAAGAGTAATGAGTTGATATATAGTACTCCCTCCGTTTCACAAAGAATGACCTAGTTTGACTTGGCACAGAGTTTAAGTAAATAAAGAAGACTTTTGAATCTTGTGGTCCTAAATTAAAGTTATGTCAAATGTACAAAATTACCCTTAATCTTGTGGTCTTAAACATGTCACGTGGAAAGCAAAAAGTAAAATGTTATCAAAAAAGGAAAAATGTCATTCATTTTTAAACTGACTAAAAAGGAAAGGAGGTCATTCTTTATGAAACGGAGGGAGTATCATATTTAAATACGAACCTACTCTTATATGACCTAATTTATGATATTTGAATGCGATATTAGTACTATCACTTACTTGTATAGTCGTATCAATATTTATGACTAATTAATTTAGGGTCTGTTTGGATTTTGTTACTTACAAAAATATTTTGTATGAAAAATATTTTATTGTATTTGATATATATAAAAATATTATTTTAAAAATGTGTATATAATTTAAATAAATATTAAGGAAGGTGAAAATGAAGATGATGTATGTTAAATGACAAGATGGACACAAATTAATATGAAATAACCTAGAAAAGGCAATTTTCCTCATAATATAAAAATATTTTCCTCCAATAGAACACGTACGCCCTTAAAACAATAAAAGATGATGGTTGAGAAAAATAAATTTTACATATTTCACAAAATTGAAGAGTATTTTTGTATATTTCAAGGGGGTAATTTTGAACTTGTTTATTTATGAATTAGGCCTACCTATTGGAAAGTTCTTTATCGCTAGTCAAATAGCGCAAACATAACTCAATTTTTGTAACAACAAGGGTAGGTAAGATCTCAATTATTAAGAGTTGATAAATTTAGATTATTGTGCGAAATTTAAGGACAAATTTAGACTTTTTTCATTTTTTATAATGACAATGATATTAATTCGTGTTCAATGTGCTGATAGTTCCTATTGATGTATAGACATTAGATAACTTTATTATTTAAGGATCAAGATTTAAAAAACACACTAAATATTAAATATAATTTTGTTTCTGCTAAAATTTGAACCAAATAATTAACTAGATTAGTTGGTAGATTCCCCAACCACTTACACTCTTTTGAAAAAACATGACTTCTCTAAGATTTGGAATCCAAAATTATTCTAATCAAATTGGCAAACAATATGATGCAAAAATGCATACTTTTTATATATTATGGGCCAACCTTTAAAGATTCTAAATTCAATTCACATGACAATTTCTAATCTATTAGATATATTCTTTGTCTAACCTTTTGGAACTTTGTGGGGTTCAGTGACATGTACCAAGTTCTTGAAATGATGTTGAGTTAATAAAAGAAAAATATATATATTTTCTATTTATGTTTTTTTTTTGTCTAGATTGAATCTTAATACATTAAAGATTAATAATTCTCAAGGATAAAATAAGAAGAATAGTATTATTTATGCATAAAATGACAAATATTATAGATCGTATATTTTTAGTTAAAACGATATATAAAAATGAACGAAGGGAGTAGAAATCAGTAAAGTGCCAATATAATCTTTTGAGTTTTTTCTAACCAGAAGAGAAGCTGATAGAGTAAATATTTAATCCGTTCAACTAAATTAAATATTATTTAACATGTAATATAGATAAATATACTTATGTGACAATTATTAAAGTCTTTAAAAATATCATAATTATTCAATAAATTTAATATTAAAATCCTTAAAAGTTGAATCCAATATCTTGAATCTGATTCTCATTCTTCGTTTAACAACAGAAAACAACTTTTTTGTTTTAAAAATAACACATCCAGTAATTTCACAGGTGAATTTAAGAATAATAAAATGTATATATGCGGATCTTATTTTTACCTTTAATGGTATAGAGATTGTTTTCGAAAGATTTTAGGTTTAAGTAGTGTCTAAATAACAATAACATCCTAATGATATCCCAAAAATGTAGTATGAGAAGGTAAAACGTACGTAGACTTTACCACTATTTTGTGGAGGTAAAAAGATTGTTTTGCAAAAGATCCTCGACTGAAGTGCAACAAATATAATCCAACTACAAAAAAGAAGAAAACATAGCGACTAACAAGGGAAGCAATGCAAGGCTTACAAAAAAAAAGCACACGAAGGATAAAATAGTGTGACCATCGAAATACAAGTAACAATAGACGATGATAGATATCAAAAGCAAGAACTACAATAATACGATTAGTACAACGATAAATACCAACAAATCTAAATCCTCAAAAAACACTTCATTACATACCACCTTCTACCCTAATCCACGTTCTCCCATTTCGGCGTCCTCCCATCTATGGGACACATAGATAGGACACAAAATAGTGTCTGAATAAATTTGTATGGGACACATATGAAACTTAAGATTACATCATTACACAAACTAAAGTGAATATTCCGTGCTTCTAATTTCATTTTTTTCCATATAAATACAATATACATCTTTTATTTTACAAATTTGTATGGGACACATGAAAATGAATAAATTATGATGTTTTTTTTGTAACATAAAGAGTAAAATCTGGGCCTTCAAAATTTGATGGTTTTTAAAATATTGTATTAAAACTATTTATTTCAAAACAAGTGCATTATGACACAAAAACAAACCATGAATGATTAATCCTTTTTTTATACTTAGGCATGCAAGTATTAATTATAGTTAATCAAATGCCGAAAGACAAAAGTTTCATTCATATTTAATAATATATCTTATTAGTGCTGGAAAAAGAAGCTTAATTT